ATCGTACAGATTCAAGATTCAAGATACTTGTCACTAATGCATTGTTCCGATCGTACAGATTCAAGATTCAAGATACTTGTCACTAATGCATTGTTTTTTTTGGATCCCGGGGCTACTGAAGGAGCGGCCTCAGCTTTATCCGGTTCGCAAACCGGCGGCGGGTGGAGTCCGGTTACCTCCTTATAATACTGCGCACTAATTGCCTACGAACCCGCCGATTCTAAAATGATGAACCCTAGGGGTGAAGGAGGTGAGTTAAGGGTCTTTTATATAAACCTCCACCGGCTGCCAACCGTCCCACTCTTATACGCCTACCTTCAAGGCACGAGCGCAGGGGATGCCAACCCTGCTAACTCTTGACTAATGCGCAATCAACTGACAAGTGAACAACTAGAAGTAAATGCCTACTGGCGTAAGGCCCTAAGTACAACATGTTTTTCATTGATGAGGGAGCACGAACCTAGTGTCTCTTATCTTCACTGCCTCGCGCTCCCTCCTTCGCGGCGTGCACCATCCTCAACCGGGTCCCGCTTCCGCAATCGCCATAAAATACCCAAAAAGAAAAACAGAAACCGGAGAAGTTACTCCTACCAAAGGGGCTACCTTATGCCTGCTAGCCACTTCTCTGCTAAGAGCGGGCGGGAGATATAAGGATCGGCGAGGGAGAGCGATGGGACGCTCTCCCCCTTTTTAATCAAGCTGCATTGTTCCGATCGTACAGAGATATATGCGAAAATACAGATGAACCGGTGGCATCAGCAGGTGGCTATCTTCGGAAAGAACTTAGCAGATCAAAGCTAGTGCTTAGAAAATTGACAGGGCTGATATCAGACCTGCATTCACAATCATCAAGGCAAATTTTCATGTTCATGGGTCGTTGGGCTTGGGTCGTGTCAGTGGTCTCTTATTTGGGTTCTCTGCATCGAGCTATGATTTTGGTGAATTCTTCGTTCTATGGTGTACAGGAAGTTAGCTGAGTGCAGAGATGTGTACGTACATCGGAGGTACAGTCAGAAGTACCACAGAGATGGACACAGAAACTCATTCATTCATAAAAAGTACTAGAAGAAAAGAAATAGAAACAGAAGTACTAGAAGTAGGCAATACAAAACGGACCAATCGTCCATAGTTCGATCTTATCTTGTGCCACAGTCGATCAACAAATTTAAACTATAAAGCTTCGTCTTCGAAGAGCTCTTTTTACATACAGGAGCTTCTCCAATGTAAAGCAGTTTCTTTTTTTCGAATGCTTGGTTACAGTCAAGAGAAGTTTCAATTTTTTTGTAATTACCGCTATGATTAGACACTGATTCTCCGCACAAAGCTAAAGTCCAATTTAGTAGCACTACACGGCTAGTGCAACCTCCACCTTCCAATTATAAGTTTACGATGTAGTACTACACGGCTAGTGCAGCCTCCACCTCTAAATCAGGTATACAACGATGATTCACGAGTTGTTGTACCTGACTTCTAATACTATTCAAAATTGTTGCATTTCGCACAACTCCTCATCTTCGAGATCTTGAAACTGTTTTGTTAAAACTCAACACAGTCAATAGGTCTAAATTCACTTCGTCGAAGGTTTGCTCTTCTCTACGGACATCCTCACTGATTGTCGTTCCGGTACTTGTGAACATTATACTGAAGGTTCGACATGGTGTTATAGTTTCCTCGTTCAGCACCAGGAGTCCACGAGTTCTCGTGCGACGCTGGAGCAATGTGATAATTTTTCCATGAGCTATCTCCATCATGGTTGTTGCTGTTGTTTCCTGGTGCGCCTAAGTTCCACCCTCCTGCTGCAGCACTACCAGCAGTGGCGGAAGCGTTATTATCTTCTCTTTAGAGAGTTTCTTATTATGCTATTTCTTCGAGACAACTAGAATTCTTGTAAGGAGGATTTACATGCGGGTTGAAGACACCATACGAGGAACAAATGATTGCCAAATGAGGGCCATAATCATAAGCGTTGAATCGCTGCTGTCCTCCAGGCTGCTGTGGTTGTGCGCCCCCTCCATGTTCTTGTCCTCGTGCGGCAAACCTCCAGTCAGAAGAAGTATCAACATGTAGTTGTTGTGAAGAGTTATTATCTAGTTGTCCTCCGGTGTTCCATGGGTCATTTTTAGTAGAACTATGTGTCTGCTCACCACGAATAGAGCCACTGGCTCGTCCGCCAGTATGGTACGTACTAGTTCCTCCAGTATAATACGTCGAGGAAGTTTTGGTTGTATCTCTCGAAATCCCGTATGCGGTTCCGACAACATTTGCAGCCACATTGTACGGAAGAGTTTCCCTAATTGTAGCTTCATCCCGGCTATATCTGACACCTGTTCCACGACCTGCTCCGGCATCTGCACCAAGATCATGTCTGGCATCTTTCATAGCACGCGAACGTATATCTGCTGAAGACGACCTTGTATCGCCACCCCGCGATCGAGCTGAGCGTCCATTCGCGTACTGCTCAGCTACACCCCCACCCCATGCAGAAGTAGATGAGGAAAAGCCTCCCGACCGATGGTATTTCTTCGAGTCGTCGTCGTAACTACTAGATTGATGATGGTATTTCTTCGAGTCGACGTCGTAATGTTGCTCCCTAGAAGTTCCTCTACGTCCTCTGCTGTCCCGGCGACCAGTTCCTCCGCGATTGCTTCCTCAATCATTAGAACTCTGAAAGAGAGACATCTGCCTGAAATTCGTGCTCCCCCTCGTATGTGCGACGAGCCTAATAGTCGTGGTGGAGCCGACCTAAAAAGAAAGACCAGAGGAAGATAGAAAAGAGAAAAAGGGTAACTATCGTCAAGCTTCCTCCTATCTGCTAACACTAGCGGGAGAGAGAGATACGCATTTACGTCTAAGAAGAATAAGCTTAACAACTGTACAATCGCAAGAAAATCATGATTTCAAAGAAAAAGTAGTTTTGTTCTCTCTTCCCCAGAGGACTCATTTGGAAATGATGCATTCGGCATCCCCCTTAATGTAGGTTCCTCTTGCCTCGGCGTTGTATCCTCGTGTCTCGGTGTTGTATCCTCTCGCTCCCTCGGCATTGTATCCTGTTGCCTCAGTGTTGTAGTCACGTTTGTTGTAGCGATCGGCATTGCTGCTGTAGCGGTCGGCATTGCGTTCTCGAGATCGTCGTTTTGACATGCGTCGTTTCGAACGAGATCTAGAGCGGCGAGTAAAGCGATCCTCCTTCGGACGACTGCGGTAGTCGTCCTTTGGACGACTGAGGTACCCCTGATCTTGTTCCTTTTTTTTCGTAATATTGTCATACTGAAGATGCTTGTCAGCATACTGGTGTTTAAACCTGGCCAGATTGTTGTAGCTCTTGTTGTTATTGTTGTTGTCCTTCGTCCTCGCTGTGTCATACTGTCGACGAGGTGGGTCGTAGTTGTTGATTCCGTCGTCCTTCTTCGTCGTCTCCTCGTAGTCCTTCTTCGTCGTCTCCTCGTAGTCCTTCTTCGTCGTCTCCTCGTACAGGAGCTTCTGATCATGCTTACTATGTGAAGTGTAGCCGTGTTTCCACAAGATGTAATCGGCGTGACTAACGTTCTTGCTTGTCTTCGTAGGATCGTTCATGTTGCTATGGATCGCGGCGTTTTTCCTCGTGAGCGAATTGTTCTCGGCGCCAGGGGCCTGTGGCGGTGCACCTCCTATAAATGGCAGGCCCTGACCACCGGCGCGGTCGCTTCCTCTGACTGATTGAGAATAATCATTTGTGTTGTTCCTGTTGTGGTTCTTCGCACTCTGATATGTTGATCCCTGATAATTGTACGTGCTCACATTCGAGACACTCTGCTGATGCCACCCTCCAGTATTTGCGGGCGGCGCCCCTTTCTGTGGCCAGTAAGCAGGACCGGGAGGAAGGATGGGAGAAGCATTGGTATTGTAGAAGTTGATGTTGCCGTGTTGTTGTAGAGGTTGTAAAGGATTAAGAGGTCCTGCTCCACCTAATGGCATGTTAGAGGCACCTAACGGCATGTTAGGAGCACCCGGACCCGCAGCCGGACCCGTATTCATCAACATCGCACTATTATCGTTGTGATTTTGCACGAACATAGAACAAGTGTTTCGCTGTGACATAGCAGCTAACGGGATGCCGCGTGCCATGCTGGCTTTATTGTCGTGAAAAGGATGCAAAACGTGCTGCTGTGGCACAGCAGCACGTTGGAGATGGAAATCGAAGCCCGTCTTGTCAACATCACCAGTAGAGGGCGAACCTGGTAGATCCCAGTTACTAATTGTGGCATCAAACGGGTTCCTTGATTCGAGCACTACTTTCAGTCCAATCATCATCCCACCATTCTTCATCGTCGTCTTCAAAGGAATAACTCTTCGTGGAACGTGCATCGAGCGCTAAGAAATAGTGCTAGTTTTCATATTTCCCCAGATTTTGAGTGTGGTTTTGATAATATAATCGCTGCTACTCCACCAACCCGAAGCGTCGTAGCCATGCGCGGCTTGTCCACTGTCGTACTGGTTTGACTGCTTCCCCGAAGCCCACTCCTCGTCCTCAAGCCAGCACTCGTTCCTCTCTCGCAAATGAGTAATGCCATTTCGAACAAAGCGCAAGAATCCCACAAAGTCGGAGATCAGTTTCCTGTTTCCGTCAACCCGGTTTGAAAAAATTGAGATCTGCAGTGTAAGAGGGTCAACTCCGAAAGACCAGGCGGTAGACGCTCTGCTAGTCTCGGAACAAACTCTCGAAGTCCGCGACGCTCTTGAGGTCCGCGTGAAGGTTGTGTCTGGATCAAAACGGCAACGCCACATTGGAATCGTCGTTGAAGGGCCAAGCTCATTTTTGCGACACCAACAACCAGATGGTCGAAGCGGCAGTTGTTAGCGTCCACCACAACCGATCCTCTGGCATATCTGGATGATACCGGGAATCCTCTAAGCCTGTAAGGATACCCCACTCTTCTCCATCTACTTCCTCGATCAGCGGAAGAGGGGTGGCGAGGTATTCGCGCCACTGCCCTGACAATCTTCCGTATTATCGTCCTCGTTCTGTCTTCGAGGACCTGCAGACGACGTTCGCATGTCTCTCTGAGAAGAAAGCGCCAGTATTCTCGAATTCCATTCCATTCAGTCCATCATTGGCGAGCATACCAACCCCTAGACTATACGATGACTCCCTGAAGAGACCTCGAGTAAATGAAGTAACGAAGTCTCAAGGCACTGGGATCTCGTCCGCTTTTCATCTCATCGTAGAAATTGTTACTCAGTTTGTGAATGTCAGGTCTCGCGCTTTTCATCTCACATCGTAGAAATCGTTACTCAGTGTGTGAACCGTGGGGGCACTAGAGGCGGAGCTGAACTCTAGAGGGGTCTCGGAAGAGCTAGTCCTCTGAGCTAAGCCGAAGAATCCAACCTCATCTTGTGCTTTGTTTCACGTCGTGGGATTGATATTTACAGGGGATGAAAAACTCCAACTTGATAAAATCTGAACTGGCCCCGACTGGCACTCAGCACATTGAGTGATGCTATACCATAAACAAACCTACCCAAAACGTACGGCTCGGTTGTGCACGGTTGATTTTTCACATGATTGGTCAGCTAAAAAATGGAGACTCTAGGGAAAGGGAGACTCTAGGGAGACCTAGTTTACCACAACTATTTTCAGAAACTTTTTCGTTTCTGTTAGTGGTACTTACGAGTGTCGGATTCCATTTCGGGTGGGGAAACTACGAAAAGGATAGCATAGGATAGGCCGTCTTTGCTTAAGCCTGCACGCGATGTGCTGACAGAAGCGCCGGCGGAGCGCCCCAAGGAGGACGTGAAAAGGACGTGGTGATCGCCTCTGGGGGCCTTTTGAAAAGGAGAAAAAGGGCGGGGATGCGTTGCCTTTGTTTCCATACGTCTGTAATTCAATTCCATTCAGTTTGGGTCTCCCTGTATGTCGCCCTGGTCCTCAGTCCAGTATTTTTTCTTTTTGAGTTAGGACTATATGCTGCCACCCTTTCAGTCAATTACTTACCCCCTTATTTCGGGGAGGAATTAGTTAGATGTCTACCGCTGTTCGGTAGAGTCAGCCTGCGTGCTGCGAGACTTTCGACGACCTCGCGTCTGTAAAAGGAGTCGCTTCTTGTCACTAATGCATTGTTCCTATCGTACAGATTCAAGATTCAAGGTACTTGTCACTAATGCATTGTTCCGATCGTACAGATTCAAGATTCAAGATACTTGTCACTAATGCATTGTTCCGATCGTACAGATTCAAGATTCAAGATACTTGTCACTAATGCATTGTT